ATAAGATGCTCAAGTCAAAATATCATTTAAGATGTCAAAACAGAGTAAACATGGCTGAGTTATAAAAACACTAGAATATAGCATAACTGAGTCCAAGTATAAAGTCAAAACAATGAGGAATAGTAGTAAAAATCCCCTAAGGGTCCAAAACAGTTGGCACGAGGCCCAATTATGGCATTTAGCCCAAAACATGATGATAGCAAACAGTTTTCAATCAAATACACAGTAAAACAGTCATTCGGGATGGACTAAATCACAATCTCCAACATTGCACGACCCCATGCTCGTCATCTAGCGTGTGCGTCACCTCAATATAGCACAATGATATGAAATCTGGGGTTTCATACCCTCAAGACAACATTTACAATCATTACTCACCTCTATCTGGTCCAAACTCTAGCTCGCGATGCCCCTGCCTCTCGAATCGGCCTCCGGATGCTCCAAATCTAACCAAAATCAATGCAAAACTATTAATATATGCTAAGGGAACAAAGCCCACTCGAAAGAAATTAAATTACAACACAAATTCCAAAATTGGCCAAACCTGACCCCCGGGCCCATGTCTCAGAATCTGATAAAATTTACATCAATAGACTCCTTATCACCGGGTTCATTCATATCAAAATCACCAAAATCCAACCACAAGCGACCCCTCAAATCCCAAGTTCTAGGTCTCCAATTACAAGCCATAGTTCTTCAATATTTAGGCTTAAATTCTATAAATTCCATGATTAATTAGGTAGAAATCACATTAGGATTTAGTATTAAGTCCATAAATCTTACCTCCAAGTGTTCCCCCTTGATTCCCTCTTCAATCCCATTCAAAAAGCTTCAAAAACGCCCAAAAATAGAGGAACTTAGACCCAAAATCGCGGAAATTGGTCTTTTAAACAATCTGCCCAGCACTTAAAAATCCTTCATTGCGAACGTGGTCAACGCCTTGCATTTGCGAAGAACAATTTGAGTTGACCAATTTTTCCCTCATCGCGATCGCGACTCCCAGTATGCGAAGGCTTCCTTACTCATCGCGAACGCGACTCCCCATCCGCGAACGCGAAGAACAAACCAACCTGGACCCAGCTGCTTACCTTTCCTCTACGCGAACGCGGCTAATCCCTCGCGAACACGATGACCATTGGCCTCAACCCTTTGCGATCGCGGGACCACCTTCGCAAACGTGAAGTCCAACTTCACAGCCTCCCATCCTAACCCTTCGCGAACGCAAGGGCCCACTCGCAAACGCGAAGGACAACTGTTTGCAACACTACAACAGATTTTCTGCAATCTTTTTCAACATGAAATGGTTTATTTAACCACCCGAAACTCACTCGAGGCCCTCGTGACCTCAACTAAACATTCCAACCTATCCCATAACATCATTAAAACTTGTTCCAACCTTCGGAATGCTCAAAACAACGTCAAAACACCAAATTTGCATCGGATTCAAGCATAAGAATTCCAAATCTTTCAAATTCTGCTTTCGATCAAAAAGTCTATCAAACCACGTCCGAATGACCTGAAATTTTGCTCACACATCCCAAATGATACAACGGAGCTACTGCAACTCGCAGAATTCCATTCTAACCCCTATATCAAAATCTCACCTACCAACCGGAAAACGCCAAAATTTCAATTTCGCCAATTCAAGCTTAAATCTACTCCGTGCCTCCAAAATACATTCTGATCATGCTCCTAAGTCCCAAATCACCTCCTGAAGCTATCTGAACCATCCGAACTCACATCTGAGCCCTTTATCACATAAGTCAACATCCGGTTGACTTTTCCAACTTAAGCTTACTCAAAAGAGACTAAGTGTCTCAAACCTTACCAAAACCTCTCCGAACCCGAACCAACCAACCCGATAACACATAATACAGTTGAAAAAGGCAATAAGAAGAAAAAAATAAGGGGAACGGAGTGATAACTCATGAAACAACCGGTCAGGTCGTTATAATTGGCTTGAGGTAAGTGTTTGGTCTAACTTTGACTCGAGGGATTAGGGATCCCCGAATTAGCTGCTATGCGTAATTCCATGTGTGTGGCGTATAGGTGTGGTAACGAGTACCTATACACTGCCAAATTATTTGGTTAGCTTGTTCCATTCCATGTTCCCGATATATTGTCTTCCTATCTTTATTGCTACATGCTCATTGATGCTTCCATGTCTAATTGCTTCTTGTTATATGTAGTTTTCTTTATCGAAGGTATTAATTGTTCCGTAGTTTCATTGTATTATATTATTGGTTTAAGTTGGTTTACGGGTGTTTCATGATATATTTTGGTTAGTAATAATTGATGAGATTTCATATTTGTATAGATTTCAATTTGGTTTGGTTTGAGGCATAGATGTTGTGGAGGGTTTGAGCTAAATTGTGAAATGCTTGTTCTTATTGTGTGATTGGTACTTATATGGTGGGATCGGGTTGCACGCCGCAACAAGAGGAATAAGGGTGAAATATGATTGCCTGGTTGGATCGGATTGTGTGTCGCAACAAGGAGTAATAAGGATGGACAGGTGGGATCGGTTTGCATGCCGCAACAGGAGGAATACAGATGATATATTGAGGAGTAATAAGGGTGGACTAGTGGGATCGGGTTGTATGTCGCAACAAGGAGCAATAAGGTTGAATGCTCATATTGTTACTGATTATATGGCGGGATCGGGATGTGTGCCGCATCATTTTGTTGTTTATGTATTTTTCCTCTACTGTGATTCTATGCTGTAGCATTTTAACTCTATTAAGGATTGGTTATCGTTGAGTACTGGCAAAATAATTGAGTTTCGTATTTATTTTACTGCAAATTACTGGTCCATTTCGTTCCGTACTTCCTTTTGCTTTATTATCAACTGTACGCAGGTTATATTGTAAATGCCCTACCTTAGCCTCGTCACTACCTCGTCGAGGTTAGGCTCGGCACTTACCAGTACATGGGGTCGGTTGTACTGATACTGCACTTTCTATGCAAATTTTGGAGCTGGTAGTGGCTGATCGAGAGGTCGGTTGCAAGCATTTATCAAGGAGACCCACGGTAGTCCTACAGGCATCCGTAGGCCCCACGTCTCCTCCTATGTTCTATATCTTTATTTTATTTACTTTCGAGACAGATGTACCTTTATTTCAAACCATTACTTGTAGATATTCATAGAATATTCATGGGTTGTGATACCAGTTTTTGGGTAGTAACTGTTTCGGCTTTGTTAATATTATAAGGATAATCAGTTAAATATGTATTTTCGCTCTTATTTCGGTTCGAATTAGTTTTGTTAAATTTAAATTATGAAAATGTAAAGGGAAAAGTGAATATAACTCTAACGTTAGCTTGCCTAGTAAGTGCGATGTTAGACACTATCACGATACCGACGGTGAAAAATTTGGACCGTGACATTAAGCATCAGTTGCTGCTATTTGCAGCTCTAGTTGTTTGGCTTTGAGCAACTCTTTTAGCAATTTCCTCATTAACCTCCCTGATTTTCATGTTTAAAAAATTATAAAAATCCACTATATCGTTCTTATGGTTAACCTTTCTTGGATCTTCCATGCATGCAGATAGGAGCAATTTGTAACGATTTGATGAAGATGTGGCTACAAGATTCAGAGAATTTTTCGGAGTTACACTTTAGTACTAAAATTAATAGTAGTTTTTTACTTTCACCCCATAGTTAGGTTTTTTTGCACAATTTTTCCTTTCCGTATTGAGGTTCTTAGGGGATGTTGAATGAAAAATCAAATTTTATCTTCTTGTTTTCTCTGTTTCCTTTTCCTTGCTTTCTTAGTTCATTTTCATGGCTTTTCCCATCGGGAAATTGTTACAATTGGTATGAGAACCGACGATTCTCGGCCCCGATTGCGCATTGCCTATCCACTATTACTCTTATCCACAAAATCCTTACGAATTTCACAAAATGGAAGAGCAGACCCATTTCTTCCATGCTCCAAGTTCCGAGCAGCCTTCAAGGTGTTACCAAAATCAGTATTTCCATATTTATTCACATGATTCACATAATCCATATGAGGTTCAAGGTGGGAAGACTGAGCAATAGATTTCAACTGAACCTAGCCTAATCACCAATGAACAGTCTATTTTCTCTGAAATCCTCTCGTTGATGTGAGAGAACATTCGCTGGTTGGAGCAATTTCGGAGTGATTGTGAAGCCTACCGACAATGGAGCGCCATTTCTCTGGATTCCCCTAATATCGAATTTAATGGAGGCTCCCCAGCTTCAGCGACTTTGATGGAGTCTACTTGCTTAAAGCAAGCACTGATGAACCAAACACCAAGGTAACACTGGACACAACGAAAAATTATTCTAGTGAGTCTGTTGTTTTTCCTTCATCTGTGGTATTATTTGACCTCATTTGCCACGATCTTGGCGACAGACCACCATTGGAATCTGATGATGAAGATGCTATAGTTTTGGGTAATATCGGAGTCCATATGTTCGACAAAAGTCCTCAACAAGATGAAACGGGAGGGGTTGAACTTGTGTCGATAAGAAGAAATGAGAAAACTTCTAAAAGTAATGGGAACTGGGTGCTTGATGAACGTCCTCAATGTAACGAAACACATTTCATATTTCAGTATAGTTTTATGCAGTTGCAGTGGTTTCAGAACATTGATGCTTCATTCCATGTTTGTGAAATCGATGGCAATGGTCCAATTGTCAAGGAAGAATTGGGATCTATAAGTGAACCTAATACTAAAACCATTTTCAGTGAGCTTTCTATGTGCCGAATTGATGGAGAAGGTGAGGTCGAAATTGGATCTCTGGTTGAACTTAAGTCCACAACAGAAATGGAAGAAGAGAGCAGTGAGAGAATAGATTTGCCCTCAGATAACAAGCTAAAGCCTAGCGAGGAATCCTTGGAGACCAAGGATAATATGGAGCTGGCAGAAAATCCGATCTGTAACATTTTTAGTTCTGTTCAGTTTCCCTCCTCACTAATGTCACTTGGTCAATTGGGATGGCATTGCTGTGTTTGAAGCTCCAGATGACAATGATCTCAATTCTAACAAGGGTTTATTGATGGCCAAGCATTTTGTTCTTACGAATGAAATGTTAGGGGATGATTACCAATATCTAAGTCCTTCAATTTTGGATTCTGGAAAACATGAAGAACCAGCTGATTGGGATAAGGATTCGCCCATGGAAGTTGAAAATGAAAAGGGAACCTCAAGAAATGAAGCAGGTAAGATGTTCGATGATTCTTCTTATGCTCGTGTGGATAAGGAAGGTTTAGAGAGCAATGGAGGAATAGTTTTTAACACTACTATTGGCATTGTCAATTTTAGCGAGCCGAGAAAGTATTTTTCTCCGGTAGTTGCTTCTGAGGAGGAGGAAAATTCAGAAAAAGATGCAGACCAAACATTCAATAAATGTCTTCAAAGAGCCAGGCAGATTCATCAAGAGGTTTTCATCCCTGAATGTGATGTAGAGACTGTTGGTTCAGTTTTTAGTTATGGTCTTGATGAAAATAAAGAGGGCCAGGTGTTTGATATATATTTCCAGGGAGACAAAGCGGGATTTTCATCTAATATTGCGACATTGAATTATGGAGCTCTTACTAAAGCTGAAAATGAAACCAATTGGAAAAGTTTTGTGTTAACAAAACTCTGTCTATCTAAGGTAAGAGGAAGATTCTCTAGTGCTATTGATAAAACCATGCGAGAGGAGTTGAACGGAAGCGAAGGACTCAAGATATTAACTCACAGGAGCTTCAAGAACAATGTGACACATTGGTTCGAGACAATTAAGCCGCTACCTGACAAGTTAGTCCGTGATAATGTGGCAAGTCGAAGAGAAGATGTGACTGAAGGTTCAAGTTCCAGTGAGATCACATTGTTGCCTCCGTTAGGTGGGAGTTCTTTTATGAATATATACTTCAAGTTTCGTGTGATTGAAAATTTCATCATATATGCCATAAGGTTTTGGGTTCACAATCCAAATCTGGGAATTTTTTGTGAAAAGTTTATGAAGCAAATCATAATGAATTATGTTAATAGAGTTAATGCCTGGTTTGAAAGTTATTTTGGTTCATGCATTTGCGAATTATTTGCCACCGGACAGAGAAAGGCCAATGGGTTCTCCCTCAATGTTTCTATCTGCAATGTTGTGATTGGAAAATATATTAAGTCTGCTAAAGTAGGAGATGTTCAGTTTGTTCTCAAGGAGGTGCCAGAGAAGTTCATAATAAGATGGAATGTAATTGCTGGTTATGCTCTCTATTCTTGTAGTAAAATATATTAAGTCTGCTAAAGTAGGAGATGTTCAGTTTGTTCTCAAGGAGGTGCCAGAGAAGTTCATAATAAGATGGAATGTAATTGCTGGTTATGCTCTCTATTCTTGTAGTAATTCTAACTTGTTGCGGATTGTTTCCTCATTTAAAATGTGAGAAAGAAAAGAATGATGTATTTGGTGGATCTTGCTGCCTCTTTAGACTTGCAACTTGGTCCGGAAGCTGATATCTACGGATACAAGGTTGTGCTTTTCTGGCTAGTCTCACTAAATAGATTGAAGCTCATACTCTCCCAGTGGAATAAGGATTTTGGTTTTGGTTCATCCAAACATGTAGATCAATTTCCATTTTTGTCAATTATACACCAGAAATGGTTGCGGCAGTATTGCATTATTGGTGAACAATTACTTCCTACCTGGTTGAATTATTTGTCCTATAATTTGAGGCGGGTAACGACTGAATTCTCGGTTATAATTCGTAAGATGCAAGAAATGATTGTGCTAGAATCTGGTACCTTTGATATACTTCAGATGCTACAGGCAGTTGTTTCAAATGGCATACCAATGGTTGCAAGGAGATTATACAAGTTTCGCAAAGAGGTGCAAAAAGAACTTGGAATTGGAGAGGATGTAAAGATCATAATTCTGAAATTTGGTGGACAACCTGCAAGTTGGAAGTCGGAAATACAGCACTTGCCAACTGGTTGGTGGTGCTTGGTTTGTGTTGTATCTGAGAGACAGCAGCTGTCTCCAAATATCATAAAGCTCAGAAAAGATGGTTATGGTCCTAATAGTAAGGTCTTGGCTTACAAGTTACTGATTGTACTTGCCCATAGAGACTATCTTACTGAAGAACTATTTCTCAGAAATATGCTTAAGAGCTATCAAGGCGGTGAAGTTGCAGCTAGTTTACAAGATATTGCTTATGGTAAAAGCTATATAATAGACAAGCTGAGCAGGCAACATGATGTAATGGTTCTTGGATATCAGTCGCAAAGAATGCATAGAAGTGATTTTTATATTCCAGATTGGTATTCAAATGCGGACCCAACTAATATAGAGAAGTGCACCATTAGAGACCTCATAGCTGTTGCTGATCTTTTCAATTGTGAAAAAGATTTTGTTGTGGCAAAAGCATCTAGAAGGCCAGCTGGCATGGGTGGAATTTCTTTTCTGGAAGCTTACAAATGCCTATTAAAGAAGCTGTTTAAAGGTTTAATCCCTTACCTATACCATTGAGGTCTCATTCGGAGAAAAATTGCAGCACTGTTTCAAAGAGCCTGCTATGTTGTTTGTAGCCTTTTGAGATTTCAAAACTGTGGAGCATGGTCTAATCTTGAAGAAGGCCTAATGGGTTGTTGGAGTAATTCTGTCGTGGGCTTCACTAATTTTCACGTTTCCAAAATCCCAACCTTGAGGACAAGGTTGTTTTAAGGGGGATGGAATGTAACGATTTGATGAAGATGTGGCTACAAGATTCAAATAGTTTTTCGGAGTTATACTTTAGTACTAAAATTAATAGTAATTTTTTACTTTCACCCCATAGTTAGTTTTTTTGCACAATTTTCCCTTTCCTTTAAATACTGATGTATTGAACTTTTTAGAGGATGTTGAATGAAAAATCAATTTTTATCTTCTTGTTTTCTCTATTTTTTTCCCTTGCTTTCTTAGTGCATTTTCATGGCTTTTCCCACCGGGGAATTGCTACACAATTCCATCTCCTTCTTCCTATTCTCAGCCCTTATCTTCCTTATTTCTTCATCTATGGCATCAATAGTTGAAAGGATATTCGTCTTCTTATCCATATTAATAATGCAAATTTCACATCGAAGCCTAGCATTATTTATAGGTGAATGAAGTGAGATATGATTAGAGTATTACCTAGTTATATAGATCATTATATTTGTGATCTTTGCTATTTTTTTAAAGCTACTTTATAATTTTTTTTCTTGATATGTTACTTACAATTGCTTCGATTTTTTTAAATCGACTAAAAAGGAATTGGGACGTCAAGATATTGGTAACGAATCGGCTTACAGTCCTTTCGCGGTGTGAATACAATCTTAAAAGGAATGTTAATAGTGCAAACACCAATTTAGCTTCTAAAAAAGTCGCAACAATTTTAAGACGTAGAAATTCTAAAAACAAATAAAAAATCAAAGAAGGACTAACTATAACGACCACCTCCACAACCAGTTTATGCTACGTAGTCTTGATTGGGCCCGAGATTGACATATAATAAAGTTTTTCCTACATAAACAGCGACAATTATGGTAATTATTTGTAGATAAAAGGTATATATGAATCATATATCATTCTCCTATCAACTAATGAACTATCAGTTCACCATTTGTTGGTTATTGGCTTATTCTGGGACTTAACCCACTATTTCATATTTACGTAGCAATTGTCAAACTACAATAAATCGAAAACTTTTATCACTTTGGAATTAGAAAAACACGCCATGTCTCTTATATTTCTCTCTTCTTTTTAAATGCTTTATGGTATGTATTAGCATTTAATATTTATACGTATAACAACAACAACCCAGTAAAATTCCACTAGTGGGGTCTGGGGAAGGTAATATGTACGCAGACTTTATCCCTACCCCGAAGAAATAGAGAGGCTATTTCCGAAAGACCCTCGGCTCAAGAAAACCGAAAGACAAAAGGGAGACAATATTAATATCACCACATAAAATAGGAAAAATAGGAACAACATTAAATTCAGAAGAAAGATGCAAGGTAAAAGTGATAGATAATAAATAAGTCATGCATTGAAAAACGTAATAGTAAGACACAATATTATCAATAGCTATCTTAGACAAAAATCCTACCAGACTAGACTCAACTCTCATAGAGGTACGAAGTAAGGCTATATGTATAACTAATAAATAAATAAAATTAAAATATTTAATATAATACCATTTATTGTTACAGTAATTTATTATCCAGTAATTTACTGCTTCAAATATTGATATCGCTCTATAAAAATCATTGCTTTTCTCTTCTTGGGCAGCCACTCTGTAACACCCACAAAAAGTCACGTGATATCCGAAATAGCACCAATTATGACATCATTGTCGAACCAAATTTCAGAAAGGGAACTAAAATTGAAGCACCCTGTCTCAGGAGTCAAGCCAAAAGTATCACCCGTTAATTATATGTTGTAATGATTTCTTGGCCACTTAAATTTGCAGAGGTTTTAAAAGTCGATACATGAATTTGCACTTTTTTCATTTGAGCACTTCAACTTGATGCAATTGATACTAATAAATACATTTTACCGTTGACTATTGTGGAAGCGGCGCAGCTGACATGGCTAAATTGTGTGCAAAACTTATCACGACCCATGACCACCTCCCTGTGACAGAACCATCTCCACTCTCATGGCCACATTGGCCGCCTCCTGGAAAGATATCTCACTCCCAGTCTCCCTAGCCATTTGAAGACAAATCGGCTGGATAAGACCGTCAATAAACCTCCTCACCCTCTCTCTCTCTCGGTAGGAAGTATGACAAGAGCATGACGAGCCAAGTCGATAAATCTGGTCATATACTGGGTAACCGTCATGGAACCCTGCTGGAGACGCTCGAACTGCCTCCGATAGGCCTCCTTCTGAGTGATGGGGAGAAACTTCTCCAGAAATAGCTGAGTAAACTGCTCCCAAGTCAAAGATGGCGATCCGGCTGGTCTAGCCAAACAATAATCTCTCCACCAAGTCTTGACGGATCCAGACAAGCGAAATGTAGCAAAATTGACCCCATTGGTCTCAACTATCCCCATGTTCCCGAGAACATCATGGCAGCTGTCTAGATAATCCTGAGATCCTCCGTAGATGCACCGCTGAAAGTGGTAGTGAAGACCTTGGTGAACCTATCCAGCCTCCACAAAGCATCGATAAACATAGCTACTCCATCACCGGTCTGGGCTACCACACCCGGCTGAACTGCTCCAACTGGATGAACCGCTGGAGTCTGAATCTGGGGAGCTACCTGCCCCAGAGTGCGAGTAGTAGGAGTCTGGGCTCCTCCTCCAGCCTGAGAGACGGCTGGTGTTATAGGAAGCAAGTCTGCCCGGGTGACACTCTCCATAAGGCCCACTAGACGGACCAAAAGATCCTGAAGAACTGGGGTGGCAATAAACCCCTCTGGGATCTGAGCTGGGCCCACTGGAACTGCTGGAGCCGGAACCTCATCATCAATGTCAACCTGAGGCTCCGCTGTGGGTGCTGCTGCCCTGGGCTGAGCTCTGCCCCTGCATCGGCCTCTAGGCATAGCTAAGTAAAAGTAAATGCTTGACCTCAACTCAATGATGAAGGTTAAATTTTTTTTAAAATAAAATTTAAATATTTAAATATTACATAAAAGTAGTACAATCACAATAATATATAATACGAAATATTTAGAAGGCATATGAAAAAATTAAGGTAAAAAAAATTCATTTGACTCTCAAAATCCAAACTGCATCAGATACATTGAGACAAAGGAAGTATTGGACAAAACTCTTGGACTACAAATTTATATAAATAAAACTCCATGACCTTTTTGGAGTTTGAAAATGTAAAAGTTAAATTCCAAGATAGTGTCTTGAAGTTGAATTTATACAATAATGTATCCTTAAGTTCAAATTTATATAACACAGTATCCTGAAGTTGGATTTTATATAACTTAAACTCCCTAACAATGTTATTGTAACGACCCAACTAGTCGCTTTGAGCATTTTCACTTTGCTCGGTAGTTTGAGGGCTCGAGTATCTTCGCATGGTGTACTATGACTTGCGTGAATTGTTGGTGTTGGTTTACAAGTTATTCGGAATAGATTTGGAAGAATGAGCTTCAAGATTTAAGCTCTAAGTTTGAAGAATTGACCAAGTTTGATTTTTTAGCATTTGACCTCGGAATGGAGTTTTGTCAGTTCCATTAGCTTCGTTGGGTGATTTTGGACTTAGGAGCGCGTTCGAATTGTGATTTGGAGGTCTGTACTTGAATTAGACTTAAAATGGAGGAAGTTGGATTTTTGGGAAGTTTGACCGGGAATGGACTTTGTGATATCAGGATCGGGTTCCGAATCTGAAAGTTGGAGTAGGTCTGTAATATCAAGTGTGACTTGTACATAAAATTTTAGGTCAGTTGGACGTGATTTGATCGGTTTTGACATCGGTTATAGAAGTTGAAGTTTCAAAGTTCATTGATTTTTACTTGAGGTGAAATTCTTCATTTCGAGGTTGTTATATGTGATTTGAAGCTTCGTGTAGGTTCGTTTCATCATATGGGACTTTTCTGCAAAATTTGGTGCCATTTAGAGTTGATTTGATATGGTTCGGATGCTTGGTTACGATTCTAGAAGTTCTTGAAGTTTAATTTGATCTTCATATGTTTTGGCATCTCATTCGTGCTTTTAGAGGTTATTTTGATGATTTGATCGCGCGAGCGAGTTCATGTTGTATTTTTGGACCTGGCTACATGGTTGGTTTGGAGTCCCGAGGGCTCGGGTGAGTTTCAGATTGGTTTCGAAATAATTTTTATGATTTTTGAGTGCTGGTACTAGTGTCATTGCATTTGCAATGTTTCTGTCGCAAATGCGATAGTTGCAATTGCGAAGCAGCCATCGCATTTGCAAAATTGGGCTGCTGGGGGAAGTTCGCATTTGCGAAGAAGCCCCTCTCATTTGCGAAGGGTGGCATTTCGCTTTTGTGAGGACCCTGCTGCTTTTGCGAAATAATTGCCTTCGCATTTGCGAAGTATTGGGTTGCAAATGCGACCTCAACAGGAGGCCTTCTACTTCGCTTTTGTGATAGATCGTTCGCATTTGCGAACCCTATGTCGCAAATGCAACATCTGCAGCTTGCATATAGCTGAGAATTCCGAGACTTAGCTTCATTTTGTTATATTTTAAACCCTAGCTTCAATGGGAGGCAAATTTGTGAAGGGATTTCATTGGGTAAGTACCTCTAATCAATTCTCAATTATATTTCATCATTATACATAAGATTTAACATCAAATTCATGAGAAATCTAGGGGAAAATTTAGGGATTTTGTCAAAGTTTTGAAAAATAAAAATTTGAGATTTGAGAGTTGAATAGGACTCGGATTTGGAAACAAAATACGTATTTGGACTCGTGAGATTATGGGTAGTCAAGACCAACCCTTGGACCCGGGTTTTGACCGGGCAGGCCTGGGGGTTTACTTTTGTTGACTTTTTAGAAATTGTATAAAAGTCACAACTGTATTAATTGAAATTGTTTTCTCTTGCATTATGTGATGTATTTAAGTCATCTTTGGCTAGATTGAGCCGAGTGGAGGTGAATTTGTAAAGGAAAAAGCTAATTGAGTATTGAGTTAGCAGAATTAAGGCAAGTGTCTTGACTAACTTTGTTGAGAGAATTTTTTCTACTATTTGATATTGCTTATTACATGCGGGGGTGATACATATATGGGGTGATGAGCATATATGTATGTGCCAGGGTTAACCATGCTCGAGGGTAAATTATGTTATAAATTGTGTTTTGTAGAATTACATGACCTTGTTGCTTCATGCCTTACTTGACTCCTCGATACTAAGAACACAGTATTAACTGTTAGGAACCAAGACTTAGCTTATTATAACTTGATCAAATTTGATAGAATTCT